AACACTGAAAGACACCGGCCGCCGCGCATCTGGAATTCTATGCCCCCTCCAGAATCCCTACAAAGCCTGATGGATCACAAAGTGCTTTGTCAAATCTCCCCAACAGTGCACCTTAAAACAAGATGGAAGTGTGGCCATATTCCTATCCACCACCGCAGAGGAAGCGCCCTCGGTCAATAGCTCAAACGTAAACCATAATAGGGCATCGAGACGTGCCCCCCCAAAAGCATCCAGCTCCAGCCCGGCCCATGAGACCTCCCATGACTTACAACATGCTGTCCACGTGCCAGGAGCCAAGGAAGCCTTCACAAGTCCCCTATGCAGGCCGTTCCGAGCCGCCACATTTTGTCCGGGCAGTCCTCACCCTCCTCCAGCGCTCTGGGCACCGCCATCCGGAAATGGGACCACTGAAAGCAAGACAATGCATCAGCCACAATATTCAATTAACCAGGGACATGCCGCATGCTAAAAACCACATTGAGAGACATACACATAAAGGACACCACCAGAGCTGACACCGCCGATAACCGATTAACCGCATCCACCACAGACATACTGTCCGTGTGGAAAACCACTTTCCTATTCTTCAGCAAGTTACCCCAATGCAACAGTGCCACTTGTAGTGGAAACAGCTCGAGAAAAGGCAAGTTACGCATCAAGGAGCTCGCCGCCAACACCGTCGGCCAAGGAGCTGCACACCATCGTCCCCCAAAGTACGCCTCAAAGCCCATGCTACCTGAAACATCCGTGAACAGTTCCAGATCCGCAGTCACAAACACCGCCTGCCTGAAAATCACCATACCGTTAAACCCCCACAGGAACACATCCCAGACCTCCAGGTCAGCCTTCACAGCGGAGGTAACCCTAACCAAGTGATGAGGCGAATGGATTCCAACCATGTCCCTAGCCAGACTCCTACTGAAAACCCTCCCCATAGGCACTCCCCTGCAAGTAAAATTTAACTTCCCCATGAGCAATTGTAGCTGCCGCAGCGTTACCATACACGCCTAATGCACCTCTGTCACCACCGTCCGCAACGGCGCAACCCCAGCAGTTTATCCTGAGGAAGACATCATTCCCCTTTTCAATAGTCTATCTCAATGCCCAGGAAACTCAGGCAGGCAGTCGGACCTTCCATCTTGCACACTGCAAGAGGAACCCCAAACTTATCCGCCACCCACTCAATGGTCCGCAGCAGATGAAAACAGCGCTGAGAGTCAGCCCTGCCCCACGCACATGAAGTCATCCAAATAGTGGACCACCGACTGACACCCTGCCTCTGTCTCCGTCGGAAAGGGATTTAGAGGTGATTATTTCTGATGACTTAAAGGTAGGCAGACAATGTAATAGAGCAGCAGGAAATGCTAGCAGAATGCTTGGTTGTAAAGGGAGAGGTATTAGCAGTAGAAAGAGGGAAGTGCTCATGCCATTGTACAGAACACTGGTGAGACCTCACTTGGAGTATTGTACGCAGTACTGGAGACCGTATCTTCAGAAGGATATTGATACCTTAGAGAGGGTTCAGAGAAGGGCTACTAAACTGGTTCATGGATTGCAAGATAAAACTTACCAGGAAAGGTTAAAGGATCTTCACATGTATAGCTTGGATGAAAGACAGACAGGGGGGATATGATAGAAACATTTAAATACATAAAGGGAATCAACACAGTAAAGGAGGAGACCATATTTAAAAGAAGAAAAACTACCACCGTCGAAGGCGCAGCCCAAAAGTTGGTGGCAGTCCAGGTGTACTGGCAGGAAGCGAAACGCCGCCTCCACGTCCACCTTCGCCATGTGGGCCCCGGGCCCCGGCTCTCTAACCAACTCGACCGCCTGGTTGAATGATGCATAAGAAACCGAGCACAGTTCCCCGTTGATGTCGTAATTCACCAATGCCCCCTTAGCATAGGAGAGGTGGTGAACCAGGCAGAACTTCCCAGGTTCGTTCTTAGGGTTAACCCCCAGTGGAGAAACCATCAATTTGGGCAAGGGAAGGGAGGTAAACGGACCCGCCATCGTACCGACCTGCACTTCCTTAGCCAGCTTCTACCGCACCACATCTGGGAATTCAAAGACCGATTTCAAGTTACACACCCTACCTGACCACTTTCTTGAAATGGGATATAAAACCTCTCCCCAAAGCCCGCTAGCAACAACATCACATCTGACTTGTTACCGTAGTGGCTTAGCCAAGGGGAACTACTCCACAGGAACCCGCTCCAGGTGAGGCCCCAGTCTTACCCCATTTAAAACATCCGTTGAGGCCATGGGTACCCCCACTGCCCGAGCACTTGTGCTTAAACCTACACCCGGTGCCCCACTTGCACTGGCCCAGATTGAAGAGCCAACAAATTGAACACGGCCGATGAAGAGGACTGACGTAGAGGGTCGATTTCTGCGCCATCATAAGCTTCATCCATAGAGGCAGGTCCCACCACATCCCAAGGTTCGCCACAAGTCGCTGCTGGAATTGCTTGTCGTATTTCCATCACACCAGACCGCCATACATTCGGTAAGCCTCCCACACCCCACCCAGATAGCAGAACAATGATGAACACAGACCCGGTGACTTCTCCCCAATAACGCTGGCTAAGATGTAGAAAGCACACAGCCTTACGTTTTTCCTCCTCCTCCTTCTTGGCAGCCTTCTTGTCCTCCTCCTTGAGGTCCAAGTTGTCCTCCAGTGGCAAAAGCAAAAAAGGTTTGGAAAACTCACCTTTACATATTTTCTCCTTCACCTCCTGTTTCAAATACACCCCTAAATGCTGATGCCTGGATTGCTTTGAATTGAAGAAGATCGGCTCTGTGACATGAAATGAGAAGAGACATTCCTCAGCAGGGCGCACCCTTCACCAGACACCCCCCTGCCGTGACCCAGGGATCACCTGCTGGGCCACAAGCATCCCGCCCCCTCTCCTGGCCACCCCGGCCGCTGCGAAAAACGGACGCCCCGCTGACTCTACCCCTGGGGCTACGACTCCTGACATGATAAATGGGGAAACTCCCTTGAGACTCCGAAGATTAAGCCGCATCCAACCGGTGCCCAGATCTCGAGTAGGAATCATGTGTGGCACCGCTGCCAACCGACTCAAGGCTGTTGACCTCAGAGCCCGCCGGGATCCCCCTTCCACTCCTGTACCTCCCTGGGCAAGCCCGCATTTCCCTGAAACCGGCGCCTCTCGCGCTGTGCTCTCCAACCAAAGTGCGACCAGCCTAGCCCACCTGCTGCCTGAACATGTTTCCAACAATCTACATAACTTTGTACATTTAGTGCAAGATGTTATCACTTTGAGTAATCTTATTTTTTATAAAGACTGACGATCAATTGCCCTCTGTGCCACTCTGAATTTAACACCCCCTGTAACATTTACAGCATTATCCACCAAATTGAGAATTCAAAGTGAATATAAAATGTTAGACCAAAGTAGCCAAACCTGAAGCATAAATGACTTGAGAATCTTTCCAATTTGGTTATTTTGGCATTAAATTTTAAATTCACTTTGAATTCTCACGTTAGTAAATATTGTTATTATTGTAAAATTCGATGCTGTATTTCCTGATCCAAATTTTAGTCGCCCCTTTTCCTTTCTCTCATTATACAGCTGTTGTTACGTACTTTTTGTGACTATTGTGAAAGGAGTGAGTGTTTTTGTGAGAGGTTCTACCAATCCTTCGTTCCTGTGGACGGATTTTCCAGTCGTACAATGTTGCAAGTCGGACCCTGATTCTGTTAATCTCATTCTTTCAGTGAAATCGTATTTCATGATCCCACTGATCCTCCTTCTCTTCAGCTACTGACCTTTTATTTTACTGCCATTTGTCTCTGAAATATGCTTTACTGCATCTCGAAACCGCGGCCAATAATGTCTCTGCCATTCTCTGTCACTCCCAACTCTCAACAAGTAAATAGGGTCATTTTTCGCAAGGATAGGAAGACATATTTTAACATCCTAAATAGCACTTATCTCTGAAATACAGAATGAGGATCATTTAGCTAAATGCTTACACTGCAAACCTCTCTAAAAACTATTTCATACAATACATGGCTCTCTGAGACTCGTTTCTACAGGGATTTACTGTGCTCTGATAATTAAAACTGACCATAGAGACAGAAATATAGTTATTTGTTACAGTATTGTATTACAGGTATTTGTATATTTATGACTAATTAACCCATTAAACATATCACGGTAATTAGAAAGCAAAGGAATGGACTGGGCTAACTACTATAAATACCCTCTGTATGTCTAATGACCAGCAGTAAGCAAATTACACAAAACACTGCGCAAACAAATAAAATCATTTTCTTTACAAGTTCACTGGCCCTTTATTTCAATATGGGGGTGTTCGGTGTGACAGATCATTGATTGCTTAAGCCAGTGGTTCCCAAACATTTTCGGTTCAAGGCGCCCTTAATATTTCAATATTTTTCCAAGTTAAATTTCCCAGGTTTTATATATGTACAGCGCAGCGGCATATATTGGGCCCATGTTCAGCAGAACCTAATTGTGACGAGACCAATCTCGCCACATTGCATTGGAGAAGCCTGGTTGCACGCCTGTTTCAAGCCCCATGTTAAAAGGTTTGATTTTCCCCTGCGGAGACACGAAAGCCGGGTCATTCGGTGCTGACCCTGTTTGAGCGGTGATACCCCAGATAGCCATGCCATGGAGCCCATTCGTATAATGAAAGAATATGGGAAAGACTTTGGCTCCATGGCAATTGAACTGTATGTGTGTGCTCTGAGCGCCATTCAGTAATAATGTGCGCTCAGATCTGAGCTATCTGGGGATATGTTGAATGTACCTGTCTTGTGCAATGGCTGCACAGTTATATGTTTTTATGTGTTTTATTGTCTTTTGCTGCCATGTGTTCAATGGAGTTTTGCTTCTGTCTTTGGAGATAATTGGATTACTTCCCAATTATCTCCAGGTAAAAGTATGCATCACATTCACAATTGGTCCAATGGTTCAAAAGATAGATCGTAGTCCTTTGTGACCAAAGGAAGCATGGCTTTTCTGCCCAAAACCAGTTCCACAGAGTCTTCTATCATAGAGATAATTGGGAAGTAATTCAATTATCTCCAGGATAGAAGACTCTGTGGAACTGGTTTTGGGCAGAAAAGCCATGCTTCCTTTGGTCACAAAGGACTGCGATCTATCTTTTGAACCATTGGACCAATTGTGAATGTGATGTATACTTTTCAAGTTATGAATAATGTGGAAAAATTAAATTTCTCTGCTTGTTATAATTACATCACCCATTGTGTAAGGTAATTGTATCACAGGCAGAGGGGAGGATTTTGTGTGGGAGTGTCTGAGTGTATTGTACGTGTTTATTGGTTGTGTTCCAAAACCCTGTGGGTGGTACTAATGTGTAAGAATGTGTATATAATAACAATAAACCCACAGCTCTGGCTGTTCACTGCTTGACCCTCAACACGGAGCTTTGTCTCGTTCTTGGGGGGATTTATTGTATGCTGTTCCAGTTCTACTGCTAGGAGTGTAAACCTATTCGTATGGTTTTTCCTATTCGGCTGTTTACAGTATTCATATGTTTACTGCATTGGTGTTCTGCAGTAGCTGTGCCTCTGGAAGGGAAGATCTACTAAACAGCAGTTTAACCCTTGTATGCCTGGGGGTGCCATTACACTAGGGGCACTGGCAGATTATTTAAAGAAACAACCCATCTTTAACACTTTGTAGTGATTATGGTGCCCTCCCAGAGTACATAGTCATACTGTTTAACCCCTTAAGAACACATGACAGAAATATTCCATCATGATTCCATTTTATTTCATCAGCTGTGTTCTTAAGAATAGTTTGACAACTTACCTGGGATCTGCCTGGATATGGGCTGTAATAAGCGATAGAAGTGTGTTTGAGGAGTGCAATGTGTGTGTGGTGGGGTGCATTATGTATGTGAAGGACTTAGTGTGTGTAAGTCACTATTGTCATTGTGCCATACACATTATTGTGTATTTGGGCCTGACTGGGTTTGAACCTGAATCTCCTACTTCCCAGTCAGTGGCCTTACTTTAGGCTCCACACTTCTTTGGTTATTTTTGGATGTCCTGGTATCCTGTTCTCCTTGTCTCTACGCCTGGACCCTACTCACCTGTTCCTGACAAGTGGCTGATATTCCCTATATAAGCCCTGCCTTGGTTGTTACACATTGTCAGATGGTTGTGTTCCTGTTTTCTATCCTTGCTGTTTATCTGACTCCTGGTTCTTGATTCTCTGCTCGTCCTTCGTTTTGCCTGTTTGCTGCCAATTCTCTGGTTTCGTCCCTGACTATGCTTTTGGATATTCCTTGCCTTTACCTTGTTCCTGGAAGCACTGGTTATTATCAGCCCCAGTGCACGGTTTCACCGCCTTGGGGATTTCTGCCTTGAGTCCCCTTGGCTAGTGTAAAATTGCAAAGGGTGCTCTAAACTCTGCGTGTTGACTCCTACTCAAGGTAAGATCCTTACAGTGTGTGTGTGGGGGGGGGTGAGTATGTGGGGGGGCAGTGAGTGTGTGGGAAATATGTATGAGAAATATTATTCATATAAAACATGTATAACCTGATGTTTCCTTAAGAATAAGGAAGCACAACTCTTCCTGACCTTTTTGCTGATTTTGCTAAGTGCGAATTAGGCAATGAACTATAAATGAAGCATATTTTTAGACTACAAGTAATCTTTGACAGCTGTCCAAAATAATTGCTGATTCTGCATATTGTAATGTGACATGATCAGATACCGATATAATCTTAAGAGTTATACCAATAAACTCAGAATCGATTTGGACCTCACCGCGATATTGTGTCTGAGTGAATTCTCCAAGCCTGTAGGTGTGATGTGCTGATTGTAATTCCTGAAGTATGAACTGCAGCCGTTAGGATCCCGGGGAAGGAAAAATAGCCCTTATAGTGCAGAACATGGAACGGTATCTGTAGGGTCCCTTTAAGATCTTTATACTGCTGTCAGATCCACTAGGTTTCCCTTAACACACATCATTCTTACATGCTGATGGTCAGTACATGAAAAGTACTGCCCTGCAGTTTTAGGTCAGTTTGCTCCTACATGGTGCCACTTTATATTATGCAGTGGAGAGATTTATTACCTCGCCAGGGTGGTTTCTTGGAATTTGTCCTTTATTCAATAATTAATTTCATGGATCATAGAAACACATACTGCGGGGGAAGCATTCTGGAACGTAAAGGTTAACAGAACATTAGAAATCAGATGGAATGTTTAACCAGTTTAGATTTAAAGGAACACTGCCACAGCCAACACAACTTCAGCTCACTGAAGCTGTAATGAGAGCAGGAGTTTCCAGGAGCTATCTCACCTTCACAGGTTAAACTTCTTAGCACTGGTTTAACCTGAATATTGGTCCTTTGGCACTCAACATAGTTGCCCAAGGATTCATTCTACCACCACAATAAGAACAGTAATAGGTAAGCCTTCATACTGTGAAGCAGAGAGGAAGAAAGCCAGGAGACCAGAGGGCCACCTTGTAAGGTAAGACAGTGCCGAAATACTCCTTTACTCTTAAGTATACTAAAAGTGTTATGGGGTGGGAGTGTTCATTTAAGGCCCTTGTAAAATTCTTCTAAAAAAATAAGATATATCCATCTTATCCAGAGATATAACCACATTCTCACCGCAACTTCTATCCACCCATGGGACATCCTGACTAGTGATGATGTCCAGGTCGAGCTAGTTCTTCTCATGGAGAAACATCGAGACACAGTATGAATGTACAGCAATCCCTACCATCCACGAACAGAATGTTGGAGGAGATTGTCGCAAAGATACTTAGATCATTTTAAAAGTTCAATGTAAATTAAGGTATGCTACCCCTAAACCACTCAGAAAGCTAATTTAATACCAGATATTATAATGGCTGGAGGTAGTTAGCAATGTCAAACTGACTATTAAATTCCCTTTGGAAATGTGTTTTCTGGCTGTTTAAGATGATAATGTATTTTTAAACAATTACGGTAATAGTAAACATCAGATTCATCTTATTTATTAAGAGTCACTAACAAAAGGCATGCACTTACTGCAGCCGTGGAAATATTTGCTTAACGACCAGCAAGGGAGGGAATATTAAAACCTGTTACCGGGATTCATTTTTTCATTGTGAGGCAGCGAAAAGTCATTTAATTCAATTTTGGTTTTGCTGCTGAGAGGAGGTTGGGCGAACAATAAGCAGACGTCGTATATTTGGAAAGGGCTGTTATCTAGCACAGAGCATATAAAAATGATGGGGTTTACTCACTAAACCGTATATTATAAGGAAACTGCAAATAAAATGTAAAATGTCCATCAAAATAGCCAAATAAACAATTTTTCCAGCTCAGCTCATATTTTTTATTAAATTCTCTCCACTTCCTGGATTAATGACAATAAAAAGGTTCCCAGCCTGGTGTCCTCAATCCGATTAGACAGTCTTGGTTTTGAGGCTCTCTTGTGCGTCCTAGTCGTTTTCTCTCTTAATTTTCAGTTCAAAGACTTCTCATTGAGCTGCATAGGGAAGTCTGTGATTGGTCAGCCACAGAAAGTCTGGGCGGGGTTAGAAGAGGAGGGCTTGTAAAGACTTCTCATTGAGCTGCAGTGGGAGTCTGTGATTGGACAGCCACATAAACTCTGGGCGGGGTTAGAAGTGGAGGGCTTATAAAGTCTTCTCATTGAGCTGCATTGGGAGTCTGTGATTGGTCAGCCACAGACAGTCCGGGCGAGGTTAGAACAGGAGAGCTTGTAAACACTTCTCATTGAGAGGTCTGTGATTGGACAGCCACAGGAACTCTGAGCGGGGTTAGACGAGGAGGGATTGTAAACACTTCTCATTGAGCTGCATTGGGAATCTGTGATTGGACAGCCACAGAAAGTGTGGGCGGGGATAGAAGAGGAGGGCTTGCAAAAGCTGCAGACAGGAGAACTACAGCTTTTTTAAGTTGTTTTAGCTATACTACCCAATGGCTCAAAATGCATAATTAAATACATGCATGTTTCTACCAAACAGGGTTTTTTATTTTTTTATTTGGGTAGTGTCCCTTTTAATCACTGCAATACATGTCCAGCAAGCCACGGTGAATCTGGAAATCGTATCTACACGGTAAGAACTCTTTACTTTGACGTTTTAAGATTGAACCTTGACTTACAATTTTTCTTTTTCTATATATATATAGTTATACTGTTGTATATTACAGTGTTTAGTTCATATAAATCTGATTTCCCTGAGAAACTACCACTAAACACTACCTACTGCTCTCTAAACTGATTCCTGATGTACTCTATTTAGCTAAACTCAGGCATGGCAAAGGATGTTTGTGTTCTAATCACAAGGTTAAAGGATTGATGTGTTCTGCAGTTCCTACCCTCATATTGTTATCCTTAGTTCTGATTCTAGACTGTTTAAATGTGTTTTGGCATTATTATTGCCATTCTTGTATCGCTTTCTACAAATGTAAACTATTGTGTAGCACTTTTATATTTGGTGACACCGATCATCTTATAGTAACAACATACAAAGTATTGCAAAACTGTAATCATTTTCTTATCCAAAAATGAATTGACATCTTGGTATATTCTTTTATCTGCTGTAAGTGTGAAGAAATAGCGATCAGCAAAAAAAACTAAAAAAACTATATATATATTTAATATTCGTCTATTTGATGCGGAGTTATCTATCAATACAGAGTATTAAAAAATTAATATATCTACACCCTATACATTCCTGACCTCATTGTGTTGCCAAGTTAGATATTAAAGGTAGCACAGGGGATATAGTTATCTATTTAAAAGACATGGAATCCATTACATTACACCCAAAGAACACACATATTAAACGTCCTGGAAATCGATATTTAGACTTGGCACAACTACTTGTTCTAAAGTCCGTCTCTTTGCTGAACTGGTATATACTGTATCTCCCAAGACGGTACATCCCGACTAATTAGATTCAGAATAAGTAGAAACTCATTATAGCGAAGGGAATAGCCGAAAAGTTTACGTGAACACTTTGCATTTCTAATCTTCCCAAACCTTTCCTTCTGTTAAATTGCTTCTATTAAACATATATAAGTTCTTAAGTTAAGTTGAAGATGCAGTCAGCAGTTTCTCTTTCTGACTCTTTAGAT